TGATTCGTCCTTAGCCAACGATAGTTGAAGTTAAGGCGACTTGTGAACAAATCAATCGTATCCTTTTTAATGCTCATCATTCTTTGTAGTCTCAAACGACAGTTTAGGGTGTTAGATTGATTGATGAAGTAGTTGATACCACGARAGTGGSTCKTCTTGATTTTATGATTGAGTTCTAGATTGGTTCTTAACTGATAACCTGAATAATTGCTTGGTTCTTGATGATCTAATCCCTGAGATATTTTCCCTTGATCTAACGTTTTTAATATCATTGTTTACACCGAATTTACTTTATTTGCTTGTTTAAACCGTGACATCTTAAACCAACTTTGATCACTTAGCTGCATTAGTATTTCAAAAGATTAGAGTGTATTGCTGGTCCCTTGAACGAACCTAACTATTCTACATCGGATTAGTGATTCTAGGTTTGAAATCTTAAACCGGACAATAACCCTTTCATCAGTTTGAGCCTCCTTCGCTACTCTATCCGCTACTCGATTTTCTTCATGGTACGTAAACTTTACAGTCTCGCCTCTACCATACCATAGATCATGCTGAGAATGTCTTGTTTCCATGGTGATAGAAGTGGCCAGCTCGCATCACCTACAACCGCATCTATCACCTGTTATGAATCAGATTCAAATACTACCTTCGAATATCCAAGACTCAATATGCTTTGAATAGCCCATCTCAAACCTTCTGCCTCAGTTTCCACGACTGATCTCAGCTTTGGCATGGCCCTGGCTCATGTCCATTTGACTTCACCTCTATGATCTCTTAGAACCCATCCTATTCCACATTTGTCTCCTTCCTTTGACCATATTCCGTCACTATTGCACTTTAACCAGCCTTGCGAAGGAGATTTCCATCTCTCTATTTGTTTCATGGTGGGTTTTTGGATTCCTCTTTTATCTTCAGCCTCGTTACACTCCAAATCAACAATACAATTGAAATGGAACCAAACCAAGTTAACGGACTTCGATTATTAAAAAAAATAGAGAAAGAAGCAATATACCTACTAATTAGAAGATGTCCAATCATATATTGATTGTGGAATTAAAGGTTTTGAAATAGCTTTTCAAGTACGAAAATGTACTTTCGCTGTTTTGTTTTCCATCTAATTAATCATTTTCTATACTTAAATAGGTTATATACTCTCTTTTTCTGATAGAAAATAGGTTATATACTTACAAAAATATTTATAGGAAAACATATTAAACGATAATGACTGTATCATATAACAAAAAAAAATTTGTTAATGGAAAAAAATTGTCTTATCTTCCTCATTAGATTTCTT